CGCAACGGAGTTCCTCTTGAGCCTTCTTATGCCTTCTTGTGCTCTCTGGCTTTGTTGGTTTCATCCATGACTGACCAAGGGGCACGTTCCTGAAACACCGGAGACAGTCCCTCACCAGAAAAGGTCCCGACAGCTACTCGGTCCGTCTCTACCTTTCGTGTTTCCCCGCTCAAGTCATGGGCGAGGTGGATTGATGACAGCGAAGAGGGTCATCAAGGGTAGGGGGTCCCGTGGTCCCGTCCTGCCCAGTCTTGGGAGATGCAATCAAGAGTTGCAAAGATCAGTTGGGGCTCACGGCTTGGATCTGCAAAGCGATTTCCGTCCCTTGTGTTTTCTATGGATTGTTGATGGCACTCGTTTTTTTGTTTTGCGTCGTCGTCGAACTGGCTGGCTGTTTGGCAAGCGCTGGCCTAGGATTGAGTGTGAGTGAGGCTCGTATGTATGACCACGTGGGCCGCCCAGTTTAGGCACAGGTGACCGGAAAACAAGAACAAACCTTCATCCGAGTGAAAAAATTAGCCTCGGAATCCAACGTCCACAAAAAGAAACGAAACCTTCTTCAAAACCCATTCGCATAGCAAAATTTGATGCCAAACTTGGCCCAGACATCGGTTTGACGATACGTATAAATTTTACAAGTCCAGTCGCTCCGAAGATATCCTGCCACACGTGCTCCCGGAGGTGTCCATTGCAAAGTTCGTTTGGCCCATCGTTCGGCGGGTAAATTGCCAATGTACAATCCGAGCCGCTAATGAGATTCCAAACAGCGGCGTGGCCATGCCTTTACGCCATGCGCCCGCACCACTCTTCCAACCTTCTCGTTGTTTTTTTTTTGTCTCCTGCAATGGTAAGTCAGAGGCGAGACGGAAATATGGCGCAAGGTGAAACAGCGGGTTATGTACAGGGTGAGACGGAGTATGTAACGGAGTGTGGCCCAAATCCAAGGCCGCGAAGGAGGAAAGTCCAGAAAGGATAATCCAGGCAGTCGACGGGAAGTGGCAGGGGGTGTGCCAAGGGGCTGGGAGACGGCTGGCTGGAGGGGTTGCGCCTTCTCGTTCCAACGGTGCTGGACCAAATTTCCAACCATATACCAACAAGACCAGAAAGGCCCCAAATGTTTTCACACGCCTGGACAAAAAACAGCGGAACGGCGTTGCTATACAATTGGATTGAAACTTGCAAACCCTCCGTCGATACCCTGAAGCCTCCCGGAAGGAATCGAAGCGAAACGTGCTTTGATAAGTGCCCTCACTGAACTGCGGATGCAAACCCCTCTCAATCAGCCCTCCCCTCCTTCAATTGTTTGTCCACCAGGCCATGTCGATTGTCCAGCAGGTTCCTTGATGTCATTTGCCCAATGATGCTGCAAATCCGTGCTTTGCGGTAGATACCTGCCTACGTGCTGGAAGGGAATGATAGACATAGGTTGGTTCACGGCTAGGATTTTACTAAGACTTTTGCGCCCTTGTGGTAAGTGGTTGCAGGGTTGGTACACAGGATCTTGTTAAAGATTGTGGATGGGCAGGGTTTTCTCCTGTAGTCTGAACCCCTGTGGTAGACATTGGGGAACATGACGGTTCCGAAAAAAATCAAGGAAAAATCCCTGACCACCGAGAAAAGGACCTGCCCGAAGCTTTTTGAGGTCCTCACTGAGAGCCTCGCTGAACATCGAACTCATTGGGGCCGCTGGCACCAGGAGGCTGCCGATCTCCACCACTTGCCTGTCCCAGGCTCGCTCCCTGCATGCCTTCTAGGCCCGGTGGTCGGCCTTGTTCACCCATCAGCCTTATCCTCGCGCCCGCCCTTTTAACGTCGAAGACGCAGATTGTTGCTTCAGCAAACTCGTGGCTCACCGCGCCAAGACAGGTCGCCTCCGAGGGGGAAAAATTCTCCTACCCTAAGGGGCGTGGTGGCTCGGGTCTTGAGTCCGTCCATACACGTCCGGTGGGCACCGGTACCCGTAGACCACGTGCTTGAGGAAAACAGGTCAGACCTTGTGAGCCGAACTACCTGTTCAACGAAAGTGGGTCAACGACCTTCATGAACACGAACGTTGCTTTGTTTTGTTTTTATCTACAATGTCTTTGTCCAAGAATGTTTCACAGCAAGGCCCGGGGACAACTCGAAACTCGCCATGGATTTTGGACCGTTTTTGGGCCTGGATTTTTGCCTCAAAATTGTGACACGTGTTCTGAAAATATCGTGACTCGTGATGGTGGGCGCGGGCTTTTAAAAATTTGCCGTCACAATTTTTCCAAACAACGCGCACCAGCGTGTGACATTGTTTTCACGCGTGTTTTTTCCTCGAATCCTGGGACCGGGACAAACGGGCACTAGCAGGTCGTCGCTCAACCGATTCAAGGTGGAAAAAAATACGGAAAATGCGTCAATCAGACATGAAACGTCAATGACATGTAAATGCAATTCAGACAGGGGAAATTTTTTTTCAGACACGATCCTCACAGCAACTGACAAATTCCCAAGCACCATGGTAATTTTTCTTCATCATCTGTCCATTCTCATGGTTGTAGGAGAGTGCCGTTTGTTGTTGCTTGTCTCGCAACTTTCCTTCAGCAAACTTTCGTTGTTGCCCTTGGTGAGGATCTTCATGGGTGTTCAACTCCTCGAGTGCTGCCACCTGCTCTGCCATCCACTTCAGCTCCCTTTTCTTGACATTTGCATGTAGGTCCACCATGAACTCAAGCTGCACGTTTTGGAGTCTGTGCCATTGTTTCATCCTCTCATTGGGCACCATCTCACTTTTTCGCCGCAGCAGGTTCAAATGTAAATATTCCCTTCGTCGAACAGTTGGCATGGTTTGGCGATGGATGTGTCCGCGCATGTGAGCCGACACCAGCGTTTGGCTGATGGTCGCCGCCACACATGCGAACCAATGCTCGACCAACCTTTTCATACTCCGAGTCGCCCGAACACATGGACTTAATCTGCAGATGAGTCCACTTCGGCAGTTGCCAGTCAGAAAGCAACGGTGGGATCTCAAACTTCACCTCTTTCATTCTTTTGAGCAAGTTGCGGTGGCGAATGAGGTATGCTTGCATCTCCTCGCCCTTGTTTCTGTGGAAGTCGGTGAAGAACTTATCAAGTCCTCGTACTGGTACAGTTCATCAAGCAACTTGAACACCAACGCTTCTGGAACAACTCCAACCTTCGCCTGTAACTGCGGTAGCTCTTCTGATTTAGATTCTCTGAGGAGGGACACGCCTTGGCCAAACCGGAGTCCAACCTTTCTGCTGAGTCTGTGGCGTGAACGGCCATTGTATGTCTCCTTCATCGCGTTCGGCATTGGGAAATAGTCCTCCTCCAACGGCCTCAGGTGTACCCGGCGCGGCCGCTCGAGCCCGGCGCACTGGGGTCCTCTTCGGACTCCCACGATCCATGCCAGACATGAACAACTCAGTCTCAACGTCCTGAAGGTTGCCAAAAGAGTCCACAAGCAAAGTCATCAAAGACACCGGCAGTCTGGTCCGCTACCAATCTCGTTGAACAGGTAGTTCAACTCACAAGGTCTTACGGGGGGTTGTCGCTCAACCGACTCAAAGGCCCTAATACGGCCACGAGTGGAAACAAATATGGAAAATGCGTCAATCAGACATGAAATGTCAATGACATGTAAATGGAATTCAGACCCACACCACATCGTTCATGGTTTTCATAGGTGTTAGTCTGTGCGCCACCACAAGCGTTGTCGGCCACCAGCCTGCTGTACTGTAAATAATGTTGCATCAAATTGACGTTTCAATTGTTAATTGAAGTGGTGCACCACGAATTCATCCGACCCATGCCGATGCCCAAAGCATTTTCAAAATGTTTGGCCAGTGGGGCGGCATGATCTGGGCCATTTTAAATTTTGCGCTACACGGACCCAAAGCGCAAAGGACTAAGAACTGAAACCGGAACTGGGACATCTTTGCGCGTGGCAAAATGCCGTGTTTGGTTTCGGCTTGCTGGCGCTTGCATGTCCTTGCACAGCCTGCGTACAGGGTTCCGTTCTTCAAGAGGCGTTGTGGCGTGTGTGTGTGTGTGTGTGTGTGTTGCGTTCGTAAGGCACCCCTCCGACCATACTTTGGTTTTGTTCCCCAGATAGCAAAGCTATGGGGTTCTTACTTCAAATAACAATGAGTTGCCCGTGCGCGCTTTCGAGACAGGTTGCTGGTGCTGGTGCTGTGACCTGGCTGTGCACGTGGTGGAGACAGGTTGCTGGTGCCGTGCCGGGTGCCGGTGCGTTGCTGGTGCTGGTGCCGGGTGCCGGCTGGTGGTGGGCGCCGGGTGCCGGTGCTGGTGCTGGTGCTGGGCGCCGGTGCTGGTGTAGCTTGCATATGTGAGGTGTCTATTTTCGGATCATTTTCCCAGCGAAGCTATGGGGTTCTCACTTCAAATTACAATGAGCTGCCTGCGCGCGCTTTGCTGGCTGTGCGTGTGGTGGAGACAGGGTGCCGGTGCTGGGTGCCGGGCGCCGGTGCTGGCTGTGCACGTGGTGGAGACAGGGTGCCGGTGCTGGTGCTGGGGTGCTGGTTGTGCGCGTGGTGGAGACAGGGTGCCGGGTGCCGGTGCGGGGTGCCGGTGCTGGGTGCTGGCTGGAGAGAGTTTTTTGTTCCCCATATAGCGACAGCTATGGGGTTCTTATTATTTCAAAGGACAATGAGCCTTTCGCACCGGTGCTGGTGTCAGCTGATTGTGCGCGCTGTGGAGGTGCCGTAAGCTGGCTGCGCAAGCTGCGTGCATTCTTGTTCCAGCCAGTCGCACGTCAATAGGTCGTGGGATTCTGCCTAGCTATCTGGGTCTATGCTGGTGTAATTTGGCGCACGCCGGGCTTTATCAATGTGTCTCGTGGCATTTCGTCGTTGCGTGTGTCAGCAGATGTTCGACACTGGTGGAACGGGGAGCTGAATGCACGTGTTGGTGTTGGAATGGTGTTTTCGTCGTGCAGGCCGTCGCTCCGATATTCCAAGCTCTGCTCGCCTTGCCGCGCCGCCTGCGCCATGGGTGACATCGAGGGAGGTTCTTGCGCAACGATGTGCTTTGAAGCCGACGGGGTGCACACCAAGGAACAGTTGATCTACAAAGGTCAAGGCATGGGAAGCTACTCGCAGGTCTCCAGCATGGAAATGGTTGGAAAGGGGAGGGGCGACTTTGAGAAGGAACGGGTTCAGGCGAATTTGTGCCAAACTTTTGATTGCGCGGGACGCAGGTATCGATTTTTTTGTTGGTTGGTGGGTTGGTCGGTTGGTCGATCGGTCGATGAGTCGGTTGGTTGTTGAAGGTTCCAACACCAAGTGTATGTAGTCTACACACTGGCAGGTGGCTTCAGGTTCGAAGCTTCGACTCCCCTGCATCGGTGCCGCGGTGTTTGCCGTCGTCCTTCTCCTGGCCATTGGGATTTGGCGGCTGTTGCCTCCCACGGGCGCCTCCGACCCTTGTGACTTGTTGGATGCTTGGACAATTTTGTTTCCTGTAGTGCGAGCACTTGGACATCCAACAGGACTTCTTTTCTGCCAATCAACGAATTTCTGTTCATTGCACGCCGAGGTATGTCGCGCTCCGCTGTTGGCAGTGGCATGACAACAAACTTGATGGCGCACTGTTGTTCCATGGGCCATCAGCAATTCTGTGCTCATAGCCCCGTCCCGAAACCACAAGTGCACGTCGACGACCAGTACTACACCCAAGTGAGGAACTTTCCCGAAACCGAACTGTTTTCCACTTCAGTGTGGTTGGTGTTGTGAGTGTATGGTTGAACTTGGTAAGCCCAGGCCAGAACAATACCAGCCCCGAAGTAGACATTTGCCGAATGAACATGATTGATTGAACCCACTTTCTTTGTGACGGCACGTCACGCATTTGATTTTGTACAACTTTGTGCATGGTTTTTCCTCACAAAGATGCTAGACAGCCAAGTTGAACTTCAAGTTTTGACCCTGCAGGGATGTCCCGGTGCCACACGTGGTGCCTGTGCCGGTGCCCCCTCCTCCAAGACAAGTGATCGAACACAAGGTCTACGTGCATCACAGCGCTTTTGATTGTGATGCTGGTTCTGTAGATTGGAAGCATCAATGGTCTGGCGAACAACAACGCTATTGTTGCTACAAGAGCCACATTGCTTGCACAACCAAGATTAACGTCCGGCCGCATTTCCACACAATCACGCATTACAAGACCCAGACCGTGCCTGTGCATGTGGCAATTCCAGCGCCGCCAGCACAAGTGGTCAACCACGTAGTGAATGTGCCAATCCACGACCCCCCACGCATGATCCGGGTCCCTGTGCCAGGGCAGCCGAATGTGGTGCCCAAGTATGTGCATCAGAAGCACTATGTGCCTGTGCCAGAGGCCAGCCCTCCCACCTATCATTCCGTGCCTGTGCCTGTGCCTGTGCGAGAGCCAGGCCATGTGATCCCCGTGCCTGCCCCGCTGCCATCTCAGACAGTGGTCAGGAACAAGGTGATCTACAAGACCAGACATGTGAAGATGGGGCATGTTGGTCATGAAGTTGTTCATGTCGTGCATCATTGGGGCGGCTCCCACCACTCGGGCGGCAGCTACCAAGGTGCGGGTGACAACTTCCATGGTGACAACGTCCATGTGGTGCATCACTATGGCGGCTCCTACCACTCGGGCGGCAGCTACCACGGTGCGGGTGACAACTTCCATGGCGACAACGTCCGTGTGGTGCATCATTATGGCGGCTCCTACCACTCGGGCGGTAGCTACCACGATGGTGGTGCGGAGTTCGATGGTGGCAGCACCCATGCAGTACATCACTACAGCAGTGGTGGTGGTTCATACCATGCTGGTGGGGCTGTGGAACAGTTCAGCAGCCATTCCGGAAGCTTCCACCATGATTTCCACTGATCAGTGTCGGCAGGCATGGCGGGGGTTTCTTTGGTCAATCGAAACGTGTTGCTTATCACCCCAAAAAAGGAGACGCACATGTCAACACAGTGTCTCACCCATGTGGGGATTTGTTAGGACGGCTAGGCACTGGCCCCATTCAGCCTTGCGCTCTTTTTCTTTTGAGGGACTTGCCCTCGGAACGTTAAATGTGGAAAGTTTACCATGGGGACTACCAATTCAGCTCACAGGTTTTGAGCTCTCATATGACCTTCGCAGGCAGATTCACGGCAAAGGCGTGACCGGCGTGACCTCCAATTCTTCAGCCTTAGGAGTTCAGACGCATCGTTTTAAGCATGTCCGATTTGGACCTTGCTCTTACCATCCTTAAGCCCACTTTGCACCCTGTGTGCTGAAGAGGTTTTGAAAGCGACAAGTTCAATTTCTTGTTTGTGCTCAGGAGGGTGTTGTGCTTAAGCCTTCTTTTTATGGCAATCTGGGCTTTGGACATACCAGTGCATGGGGTGTCCACTGCAAGACTGTGATTGCTGCTCTTAGCATTAGGCCTTGCTTGCTGTAAACACGCGCAAGGGAAAAAGGTTGCGGATACACCGATGAAAACCTGCAGGGAATCTTGAGGGTTGGGGGAGGGAGGTTTTTGCATGAAAGACTTTTCTACCATGAAGCACGTCAGGTTCCAACTGGCAGAAGAGGAAGAGACCTTTCCCAGTATGGTGACGCTTTTCTATCGCAGCCGGGACTACTTGAATACGGAGTTTTGGGAGGAGCTCGTAGCTTTTGAAGGATGGGAGATGAGATGCCCTCCACTGACCATGAGGACCAGATCCGGAGGCTCTGCGACATCCTCGCGGAGGAGTGCGCGCTTTCCGTCCGCGGATCGTAGTCAGTCCAGTCCGGTGCGGCGTGGCGCGTCGAGTGTTTTTGTGGCAGAACAAACGTCGTGACGCTGCCAACGGGGAGATGCGCGGGTGCCACCCATTGGCTCGTTCCCTGCTGAGGCTCTTTTCTGGTTGCTGGACGAGACGTGGGTGACTCGCAATGAGCCGGACTGTTCAGGTACCTCGCTGGTGCTGGGGTGCAGTGCGGGGCCTTGGAGGGTTCCACCGCAGGTTCGACAGCCTTTCCAAATGCTAGCGTTGGACCAACCCCCTCGAAGAACGTGACGTCACGTAGTGCTATATGCACAATTTCGGAGGTTGATGAACTCCCACAACAGACTCAATTCGAAATCAATCGAACTTATTGTAAAAATGATCATTGCATCTTGGGGGCGGGGCGCAGGGGGTTGGTAATCAAGATTGAAGAATCGCTGTCACGATGCCAGGCTGATGGTTCACCACGGCTCCCCTTGGGCAATGGGCTTGGAGGCCAGGTCGGAGGGGGCTATGGAAAGACAGGTATTTCAATGGCAAACATCACAACGTTTTCCTCTTCCAACGTTTCTTCCTCGCCCCTTCTGCCACTCTCCACTAGCCGCGCTCCGCTCCGCACACCGCAACGAACCGTTTTGCTCGGAAGTGACCGGAGAGCAACCGCGCACCTTGGAGGCCAAGGTGAGAAGGTATGAATGAAGAGCGTCAAACTGACCATGATTTGTCAACCAGAAAGCACAGAATCACACCAAGACTATGATGGAAAGGCTGACCCAAGAAACCCTGCTTTTCAAACCTGAGAACCCCGCACTGAACCTCTGTTGAACACGTATTTTCGGGAGTGTCGTGTTGCAGGGGCATGTCTCGACCAAAGGAGGTTGGAGAACCCTGCGAAAGCCAAACGGGCCTTCCAGCTGGGAGGTCGGGGAGCACCGCCTGCTGGCAGAAGTGGAGGTCGCCACCTCTGAGGGTCGAGGATTTTGGTGCTTGCTGATGCTGAGTGTCCGTCATGTGTCATGCTTGCTTCCTTTGACCAGCAAGTAGTATATAGGGAGGGAGGGGGATTCTCATGAGTGAAGGACAACCTGCAGGGAACAACACATGCTTGCCATTTGGGAGTGTCCCACACAGAGCACGCAAGCGGTCACGTGTGCCCACGCATGGAAGGCGCTGGACTTCTTTGGGCGGTGTGTCCTGAGGCCTCTTCTGCACACCGACAGCCAGCTTCAGATTAAAGCATAGGAAGCATACACATAGCCTGTCGTGGAGGAACATAGTCTTTCAAGAGCCTTTGCTCTCCTTGGATTAGGCTGTATCATTCCATGCCTTCCTTATGATATGGCTCCCCACCCTCAAAAGACAGAAGTTGCTTTTGTGGAACAAAGGGCATTTGTTGCAGGAGCCCGCCCAAAACCATTATGTTTGATTGTTTTTATGTATTTTATATATATGTTTATTTAACTCAATTTCTTTAACAGATACTTTCTTGATCGCCCTTTCCGACTTTTATCTATCCTGCTCTCCAGCAAGAAGAGCATTTGGAGAGAGGAGGAGCTGGGGACTCCCCCTCCGCTCCAGGCCCCCGGCTCTGCGAGGCGCGGGTCGATCCCCAGACTGGTTTGGATGGTGCCAGCCACGGCTGACGAGTGCCAGCCAAAGGGCACCAACGATGGAAGCACTGTCCAGTGCTGGACAAGTGGTTTTTCATTTTCAGGGAGTCTACCCTACCTCCGGTTCCTATGCTCCTTCTGTATTGGCAAGTGACAGCCTCCTACCAGGCATAGTGCTTGTTCCGTTCCTCTATCATTTTTTGCCGCGCCGCCCCGCAGCCGTTGGCATCCACGCAGTGTGCGCTGCTGTGATGATAGGAGGTGTGTGCGCAGGCAGAGAAGAAGGCCGGTCAGGGACCACGGCTGTAGCCGACGAAATCTATGTTCGACAGCGAGTTGAGAGGTGGAAGACCTTTGGCCTCAAAGTGGGTTCTTTTGTAGGTTCAAATCCTGTGGTTATAAAAAGAAGTCTTTTGGGCGAAGCTGGGCGAAGCGGAGTGGTCAGGGCGAGTGCACGGGGAGTTCTCCCTGGTGGATCTCCATTACCAGCTCCGGGACCTGCAAGACTTTGTGGAGGCTCGCTTCAAGGAGCAGGCGCGGCGAGCGGGAGAACTGGCGGGGCGATTGAGGTTGGAAGAGCGCAAGGTTGGAGGCCTTTGAGTTGAATTGGCGCAAGGTTGGTCTCATTGGACGATAGACCTGCAAAGTAGGAAGCACTGGAAGTTTCAACGGCTTAAGCTTGCCCCTGTCAAACTGCCCGCTCGGGATCAGGCTCATATCCACCAGCGGGGTCTGGGGATTTCGTCAGGCTGGTAGGCTGTAGACATTTGTTAACCTGTAGCTTTACTTTCTTCAACATGCCGACCCTCCCCCCACACACACCAGATACTTTCCCCAAAAAGCATTCCTTTCGAAATCCGCTGTTTCAGTCCGTCCCGGTGGCTCCGAACCGCTCCTTGCGTCACGCCCGTTGCGTGGTCCTCCCCTCAGGTCGAGCTCTTGAAGCCCTTGCTGAAAGGGAAATGCACCAGCCCAGCGTCCCGAGACGAGCCCGAGCCCCACGGCCACGCCACGCGGGTGAGCATCGAGGAGGACGATCCGCCCTCGGATCCGCCCTACGTGTCACCGATCCTCCAGAGCCCTCGGATCAGCCCCCGGCTCAAGGAAAGCATCCAGGCGGGCTGTTGATGCTTTGTTATGGGAGGAGTTCTCAGTTCTTGCATTTGTCACCAATTTTTCGCTCTCTTTTTGTCTCCCGCGGCTCTTCTGGATGCTGGGCTGAGAGCATTTTGCTTTGTTCCCTTTTTCTTCCATGTCTCTGCTGGATGCTGGGCTGAGATGACTTTGTCTCCCATGTCTCAAACTTGGCGGCAAAAGACGAGCAAGGTTCGCTGGCAAAAGACATCTATCGATCTGCCGCTGCTGCTCGGCCTCACGTTCCTCGCTCGCTCATCTCGCAGGTGGAGCGCACCCGTGACTCCGCGCAGTCCCGGCAATCCAAGCAGTCCTACGGCAGCATGACGAGCGAGCAGCGCACCTCGCTGCCCAGCAACCTCAGTGCGGCCTCGGACCACGGGTCCCTGGCCAGCCTGGCGAGCGCCATGTGGGATGAGACAGGGATGCGGTTCCGCGAGAAGGCGGTCGGGCTGGAACTGAGAAAGGGGGGTGAAGGGTCGGTGTTTTGCGAGGTGCAGGTGTTGTTGTTGTTGTTGTCGTTGTTGTTGGGATATATATATATATTTGACTTGCAACCGGCAACCTCTCTATAGAGATGCATTCTCTGCTCGATTCTGAAACCGCTGGACGGTTGGGATGCTTACTCGGGTGATGGGCGGCAAGTGTTGGGGTGAACATCCCAAGAGAGGATGCCCCCTTTTAAAGATGGTACCTCTTCATATGGGGAGTTGACCTATGATCAACAGTCTACATTCAAAAGGGGGTGTGGTTGCAGCTTTCTTGGAGGTGGGTGTTCTTGGGCGCTGTACCTTCAGGCCAGGAAGCAAGCAGTCCGGCTGCGGGAGAGCAGACTCTCACCCGGTCGCGCTCCATCGCGCGTGGAAAAATACGCCGATCGCGTGAACCAGATCGTCACGTCACCGCTGTTCACCAACAGCATCATGCTCTTGATTATGAGCCTTGATGAGAAGACATGAGGCTTTCACGGAATTGGTGAACGTCCTTGAAAAAGGGTCCATGAGGGACTGCCTGGGTGTCCCTTTTTTCGCTTTGATCAAGCCAATGGGTATACGGTATTTGGCCTTCGTCAACGAGCCGAAAAGCAAGGTCGGGGCGAGCTCGGAGGTTTTATCAACGAATGCAAGGGGGATGGTTCGTGCGCAGGAGAGTAGGAAAGCGAACGCCTTGGATAATATTGAGCTTGCAGGGTACATATTTCTTTTTGTTGGGGGGGTTGTCAATTCTTGAAGCCAGGGGCTGCTGGCTTGCCCTTGTTGAAAGGAGACTGAGGGAGACCCCTCGCAGGCCGAGCACCAACGCCCAACGAAGCCTTGAAGTCGCCAAACGCATTCGCCCAACGAATTCGCCCAGGATCAACGTGATCTTGCTGGGCGTGGAGGTG